CTGCTTCAGGAAGCCCTGCTCTTCTCCTTGCCCGCGGTCACGCCATCAGCACCGTCCCTGAGGTTCCTCTCGTCATCTCATCGACTGCTTTCGCCGATGCTGCCATCAAGAAGACCTCCGCCGCCGTCGCTCTGCTGAAGGCTGTCGGTGCTGGTGCCGATGTCGAGAAGGCCCGCAACACACGCAAGGTCCGCGCTGGTAAGGGTAAGCTCCGTGGCCGCCGTCACACTCAGCGCCGCGGACCCCTCGTCATCTACAACCCCGAGGAGGATGGCAAGGAGCTCGTCCTTGCTTTCCGCAACATCCCAGGTGTCGAGACCTCATCCGTCTACTCCCTGAACCTCCTCCAGCTCGCCCCCGGTGGCCACCTCGGTCGCTTCATCGTCTGGACCTCATCCGCTTTCAGCGCTCTCGACAAGGTCTACGGATCCACCGCTGAGCCCTCGGCGCTCAAGAAGGACTACCTCCTGCCCTCCACCATGATGAGCCAGCCCGACCTCAGCAAGATCATCAACTCCAGCGACGTCCAGAAGGTCCTCCGCCCCGTCCGTGGCGGAGCCGTCTCCAAGCGTGGTGTCGTACAAAAGAAGAACCCGCTCAAGAACTTCCAGGTGCAGCTCCGCCTCAACCCATACGCTGCTACCTTCTCCAAGGAGAAGCTCGGCCAGAAGAAGCTCGAGCAGGGCAAGCCCGAGTATGCCACCGAGACCTTCCACGAGCTTATGCACGAGAACTAGATGGTTGTTGGTTAGCGTTATGATTTCCTAAGGTGTTCTCTCTTCGGCTGGGATGGACTGGAATGATGAATAGCTATGACAAATGTAGCTCTTCACAAAATGCCTCTGAGAAGGTTTCACTTCCACTCCTATTTATGACCATTGAACCAGGCGTTGCATTGATGAGGGTCGTCCACATGTTGCGGATAGTTGTTCGTAGTAATGTGGTATTGCATGATCGACAGCTTTGCACTGACTCTGAGAACTCTTCCAAGTGTACTCTCATACTAGCAATACATTGCCCAAACGCCGTCGCTATGCTTCAAAGTTGCCCTCATCGCGAGAACAAGCCCTCACTTGAACAGCCGCCTTCCACCCGTTCTGCCCATAGTCCTCTCCACACCCTCCAGACTCATACCCGCGAATCCCGCACCCCCGCCATCCCGATCCCTCTTGTACCTCCTCAACGCCTCTCTCAGGTGTGCTGGTGTAAGCGGTCCCTTATCACACGCCTTCAGCCTATCCTGTAAACTAGCATCCTTCTCTACCTCCTTCCACAGACTCTCTGTGCGATCAACCTGCGTCGGATACCATCCCGCACTCGTAATATCGGAATTAGTCGGCCTATTCCTATCATCCTTGATATGAGCACTAGGTCTGACCAGACTCTGACTGAGGATGGGGCCTGGTAGGTTAGGGTTGGGCAGATGCGTGCGGACGGCGGACCATTCGTCGCGGACGGTGAGGGCGCGGTCGATGAGCTCGCCGATGAAGGTTTTGGAGTAGGATGTTACGGCGATGATGATGGGTTGGGGGACGGATTGGGAGAGGGTTTGGTTGACGAGTTTGCGGACGGTTTCCCGCTTAAGGCGGATGCGGCGGTAGGTTGCGTAGCGGTCCATTTGGGCTGGGGTCATGAAGTCTTCTAGCATGCTGTTGGATCACATCGTATCAGTAAACCGGACTCTACAAGAGCTGATGAAGTGAACCGGGATACATACCGCTCGTATTCCTTCTCCTGTTTCCTCCGTGCTTCAACACTCATGCCGCCTTCGATTTCCATGCCCATTTCCTCCCCCATCTCGTCATCGTCGTCGTCTTCTGCTTCTTCTCCGCCGTCGCCATCTTCGTCTTCGCCTCCGATTGCACTTCGACCGTCCGCGCCTTTACCGCCTCTTGCGCTTGAGCCCGCGACACTGCCTCCGTCTCCGCCCTTCTTCCGTCGCTTCTTCCCTCCTACGCCGTTGACGACCGATGTGGTGATGTTGCTTTCCACGGACGGTGAACGCGAGTACTGGCGCGGGGAGCCGCCGACTGATTCGGCATCTGGGGAGAAGGCGTTGCGTAGGTTGGAGGGTTTGCGCTTTTTTGTGGGCGCGCCAGAGTGAGAGGATATGCTACCGCGCTTGCGACTGCCCGGGACGTTGAGCTGTGGGATATGCGGTGGTGAAGCCATGGTCGCGCGATCACCAAGAGTACCGGCCTCTTGTGCTGGCGTCGTAGTAATGGGGGGTGGTTGGGTGGGAAGGCTAACTTCTGCGGGTTGGATAATGGAATGGGCCCTGGGGAAGTCGCGATCTCCGCCAAGCAAAATGATGGAGCGTCGACTAGCGCGTTTTGTGCTCGGAAAGCGCGACCGGGTGATTTCGTCATCGACACTCGGGAGATGGATACTTGCGCCTGTTGCTCTCATTCAGCGTCTGCGCTCTCGACTTTCACCATGTAAAACGAGATAACAGCAGGCGATCTGCCATTAATACCAATTCACACGCATAACGTTTGCCATCTTCACTTTGCGTCCTATACCCGCACACAGCCCAGCGTGCCTCAAAGATGCCATCCTACGAAGAATCCTACGGCCAGCAAGCCGCCCAAGCAGCAGGCACAGGCGCAACCGACACCGATGGCGCCGTACAAGCACCACCCGACGCACGATCTACCTCTGACCTCCCACCTGCCGCCCTCGACCTAGCAGCGCGCCTTTTCGACCTCGCCCGCAGCGGGGACACATCGACCCTCTCGCAATACGTCAGCGCCGGCATCCCCAAGAACCTCACCAACTCATCCGGCGACACACTTCTCATGCTGGCGTCCTATCATGGCAAGGCTGAGACTGCGAAGATGCTGCTGGATAACGGCGCGGATGCGAATGTGCTGAATGGGAGGGGTCAGAGTCCTATTGCGGGGGCTGTGTTCAAAGGGTACGATGATGTTGTTAGAGTGCTGTATGAGGGGGGTGCAGACGTAGAGAAGGGACAACCGAATGCGGTGGATTGCGCGAGGATGTTCAAAAGAGGGAATTGCTTGAAGTTGTTTGGTGTCGAGGAAGGTGAGGGGACTGTGGTGGATGCCGATGCACATGCTGTATCGTAGTGGAGGCTCCGCAGTGTTGATGATGTGTATTAGACTTGCTCACTCGTTCAGTGCCGGCGCCCCGACAGCTATAGGGTATAAATATATTACTCAAGAAGTCGGATACTAAACTCTTACTCCCGCGCAACACATAGTCTGGCAGTCTGATCCACCCGAAATAACCTTCCTACAAATCATGGTATCATATCATCGTCCTTCGGCCCCAACTCCCTACTTCTTCTCCTCCTTTCCCTTGCCGCCACCAAACATGCCTTCAACGTATCCACCAGCACTCTTTGCGCCTCCTGCAACGCTGCTGGCACCTCCCTTCACACCATCTGCAGCACTTTGTCCATAACCACCCAGTGGTCCTTGACTCTCAATAGAGTTTCCCTTGTCGTCCTTGCCGCCACGCTCAGCACGGTTGATGCCCTCTTTGGAGACGGCATCACCGAGGGGTTGTGCGAGTCCTCCCTTGCCGACCTGGCCGCCGACGAGGTTGTTTACGCCGTCTTGGAGGTTGTCGACTTGGTCGACGCCTGTGACCTTGGTCTGGTCGAGTTGTTCTGTGAGAAGAGATGTTAGCGATGTGTAGTTAGGGATGAGTTAACATGTAAGAGACGTACGTTTAGTAGCGTAGGAAGCCTTGTTATCCTTGGTGAACCACTTCAGGTATTGGTCCTCGATCCATGGCATCCATGTCTCGTACTTTTGGTTGTAGTACTCCCCTGCGGATTCCCTGTAGGTCTTTTGCGATCCCTTGTTCTGGTCTGTCATCTTGGGCAGTATGAATACTGTTTATTAATCGTATTGGAGTGTAGAGATAGTGAGGTGGATTATTCGTAAGGTCGTGTGTATTTGCATGTGAAGACGCAACACACAGATCAGGCAGTCAGCCATATATACTCCACCTGCATGCCTGCGCCTTCCCGTGTGTACGCCATCTGCGCCAGCGGTGATCTCATCCTCGATCACTTGCACCGTGCTTGTTACAAGTTTGTGGCCCGCTGTGGTGGCATCGAGACAGGGGTTGGTGCGTGGATGGGTTGCGCTATACGTCATCTGAACCAGAAACCCAGACCAACTGATCGTCCCGCGTGGAAACCTGCATCTCGGACAGCATCTCTTGGCTGGACGGCCGCCTTTCAAGTTATCTACGCGGGGCCAAGGGCGCCTGGACTCTAGGGCTGGGTGTCTGTTGGGCTCGGCTTAATTGGTTCGTGGGGTCGCAGATTGTGTAGGCAGGCTTTGGTGGGTGCGATGACTGGACGCTAGCAGCTGGCTTCGCAGATGAACGTCTTCAACCACCTGCATGCGAGGGCAGCGGCTTTGTGGGTATTGAGTATGGCGTAAAGATGCTGATGGATATCTAACGAGAGACATGTACAAGCTTGTCAACATTGTAGTGTCCAACGCGGTGGTGCTTAGGTAGGAATGCGTCACGACAGTCACGACACAAATACGATATCCTGAGCAGCTACAGCCACGAATGTTCGTACGGCATATCGCGACACACCGTCATCTCATCGCGCCTCTTTGGTTCTATCTGTATACTCGCATTCCTACTTTCCTGGCGATGTGGAAGGCAGTCAAAAGGCCTGTACCTTGAAGAAATTCAATGTACTCTATCATGCACATCTGCATTCTGAACTACGTTGAGTATCTCTACGATCTGGTTCACTAAGCACGGTAATTATACAAAAGAATTGATACAGTATACGACCGCCGGATTAGGCTGGACTTCCAGTCGCATTTTCCTCACTCACTGCCGATTACACAACGCTCCTTCACTTGTTAGGTCTTGGCACTTTTCTTTCTCACCGTCCTCCATCGCACATTGAATTGCCCACAACACCATCGTTCATTCACAGTCTTTCCGCCACCGGCGGCGTTCGAACGTTCCATGCGATAAATAGACTTACTATCGCTCAAATGTCTGACACCGACCCCGCCGATTCTGCGCTTCTCGTCGAATCGCAAGCCATCGAACAACTCAACCGCGCAAGGCGCCAGCTTCGTCGATCCAGAAACTCTGTTCGTGCGTCAGAACATATACTCCAGCTACTCAACCGGCTTGTGCCCAGCCTCACAATTGACGAGCTTCGAGAACTTTCGCAAATTCAACGGAGCATGGCGCGTAACTTACGTACACGAGGTGAAGCTACCGGAACTACAGGCGAAGGCGAGAACATTGTTGTTCCAGTATCTGTACCTCAAGCCCAATCCGCTCTCAAGCCTGCCACGACGCTTGTTTCTATGCTGCCAAAGACCCCATACAGCGAGGTGAAGGAGGCAGAGGGGACCGTGAACACACCCGCTTATACCAAAGTACAACTGGCGCTCTTAGAGTACCTTAACAAGTAAGTGGTACACATGTAAGGGCTGATGTGAGAGATGTACTGACGCTCTTTAGGCACGCATCCGAGAAGCTCACGGTCCGGCAAGCTCATAACTGGACAGAACGTATTGCAGACAACATGCATCCCGCTGCCAAGGATGCGCTGCGTCTCTGCTACTACATGCGCTCGCAGGGCTTCGACACGTACGCCGATGTTCGGGATGGCTCCATCGAGCTGTATCTCTCTAAACAGGTAATCTCAGCTGTCCAAATTGTATCTGAGGCGTATACTTACCTCGTTCGCAGGCACCAGAGAAGGGTCGCAGCAAGGCCTCGTTGTATTGGAAGCAGAATTACTCGACGAACGCCATAGAGCACACGGTATCTGAAGCATATATCCCACCCCGTCCGGCGCGATACGACGATTTCATGCCCTCGATGGTCTCCGGGGCTCAACTTCTGAGTGATCTCTTGGCTGGGCCAGATCCAAGTATCCCTCAACATCCAGGTGGCCCTGGAGAGGATGCAGGAGACCAGGCCGCTCCGGTACCGGAGGGCGACCAAGCACAAGAAGACGTTGAACCGGCCGAGCATGATGTCGCTACTATGCTCGCCGTCGCTCAAGCAGACTTGGAGGCTCAGTTCTTGTCTGATACCCCCGATTCAGAGTACGTTTTCGTTCCTTTCCAATCAGTGACCCCTGCTAACAAACTGTTTAGCGCCGTTGAAGCTCTGCTCGCCCGCATTGAGCAGCTCAACAGCCAGGAATGAGAGGACTAGGTTGTGCGCAAACGTATGGGATGGAGCACTTTGAGGACTACATGGGTTTTGGAGAGGCACTTTTGTGACATTTCCGTGCCTTGTAGACTCCAGGATGTACTGTGGCGTAGTTGCTAGGTTATAATACAACTCCATCTGGCACTAAAATCTTGGCAATGGTCATGCTCTTGAGTATTTAATCCACCCATCCCTTGATGACTTTCCTTCTGCATCCTGATGGCACATTCCAAGTTACTAAAATGGGTATCCCGCCCTTGCATGGCTTCTGGACTCCGAAAATACACTTCATCACTGTTCATGTGATAGAAGAAAGACCTCAACATGTAGTACGACAAGGCCATGTCCTGGGCGCGCTCGAGCTGCTCTTCAAATGAGAGGCGCGCGAAAGCTATGACTGGTAGGGCATTTCCAACGCTTCGATGATCATACCCGATTGTGTTACGTGTTTCAAAAAACACATTGTCCCTGATGATGTGTTGGTCTTCCGTCACCACCGTCGCTAAGATCCATGTACTCAGACCGAGTATGGATTTTGTTTAAATACACGAATATTTCGAGCTGTCATTTCGCATTGAAAACACATTTGATACCCCAAAACTTCAGAGTACGTGTGATGATCTTTCTCGAGAGTCCAAAAATCTACTACGTCTCACGCATGTCTTGCCCGCCACCAGCACCCACGAAACATCACCAAAACGGCATCACATGTCTGTTCAACCGCAAAACTTCAGTCTCACTGGCCCCCACGCTCGGCCTCCGCTACTACGAGTCTTGTTCATCGTCTAGATAAGGACCACTAGCGTTCTACCATCATATAAAGAGATGTTCATCTTGCTTCCTTCCGTCTTCCACAAACACACACGAAAAGTGTGCTTTTCCAAAACACGCGAGCCACCGACCCATGTCGTCCTGGAGTCGACGTGCCAAAACAGCCATTTTCCCCGCACATGCTCTCCGGGAGAACTGGCCATGGCACAGCATTTTGACCCACAAAAGGCATGAAACGATTGTTAAATGTGTTCAGCTCGACGAGAACAGCTGTTATTGTCATATCTCAAAAGAGCGTCTTCTTTGGTAACATGCGGAGCATCGCGGAAATGCTTCGTAGACTGCGAAATGAGAAAGTACAAAAAAGAACGAGAGTGTACCATATGATGGTCTGGATGAAGAAGGACAGCAGCTTTTCTAAAAGCCGTTCAAGGAATCCAACATGTTTCTCCATCTTCGCATCTCTGGTACGTGGATACAAAAGTCATCTATTTTCATTTCTCTTCTCTCTCTTTGCAACCTTAATCAAGCTGCACAACACCAAAAGACATCAGGCGATCATCCGATGGTGGGAGTCCGCCTCCAAAATCCCGAAGACAACAATTCGATGTTCCTCGGTTTCTGCGTGCGGAAAGAGGAACATTGACTGAGCGATCTAAGTCTCGTCACCAGATGTCTGTCGATGTTCAAACGATGTATTAAATGTACTCAGAGTGTTCATAGTGTGCGAGGGCATGCGTGCGTTAAAGGCCAACGTTGCGGCTTTACGATGTCACGCGAGAACATGATGACTGGTAGACATCAGAGACAGCCTGAAATCGTCAAGTGACATAGTGCTTAGCGACATCGACTTCCCTCCCGCGCAGTTGAGCAAAGTATGTGCTGTGCCACACTGCAAGCAGGGATTAAAGTGCCCATTACCCCGCAGATGCACCCGTCTCAACTCTCGACAACGACAACAACGACGGCGACTACGATAAGCGGGCCAGATTTTGTGAGTAGGTAAGCACCTGGTGGAAGTTGGTTGCTAAACAGAGTACTGATTCCTTGATTTCGCGCAGACCCAAGCGCCGCAGTAGGACCGGCTCTTTGATTGTCGAACATGGCTTCTCAGGAGCCTGATCAGCCCGATATTACATCCATCTCAGGACTAGATGATTCTAGCATCTATACACCTACCACGACTACCGAAAACGTTAATCCAGACCCTGTGAAAGATCACGCCTCGACGAGTTGGGTCCCTTCCGATGGATCTACCGTCATCATTCGCTCTACCTCATGCGGCAATGTGCTTACATTGCTCGATGGGAACATCGTACTAGCGCCGCCTAGTGGTCGTGGATCCATCCTGTGGCAGTGTGTAGAAAGTTCGGGCTGGTTCGGATTCCGAAGCTGCGTCTCAGGCAAGTTCATATGCCATGGTCGGGATGCGAGGCTGAAGTGCACGGCGGAGCAGCATCATAGTCTGAGATACTTTACTATTACTCCAGTACCAAAAGGGGGTTACATTATGCAAATGCCGGACTGGTGGACTCTTCGTCCTGTAGTGATCAATGCCGAGAACGGGCTGCAAAAGCTGGGGAGGACTGGAAACAAGCTGTCTGAAGGAATTGTATGGAACTTTTTGGAGAGTGGGGCCGGTAACGCTGAATTTCAAGAATCATAAGTAGGTCAGTCTCCTCATAATCAAGGCAAAGCCTTTCCGGCCGCCCCTTAACACTGTACCACAACGTATGATGTCACAGAACTAGAATTATGATGTGTCACTTGGAAGGCGCGCGTTCCTGACACTTCCTCGACGATGCGATCCAGGCGTTGCGCTAAAGCTTCACGCGTCGTTCATGAATGGTAATAGTGGATGGGCACGGACGTGTCGCGGACCGCTATCTGCAGTCTGCAGCCACAGGCGCGGTACCAAATAGAGGGTAGCACGAAGCGTTGACCGGGTTTGTTGGACTCCACCTCGAAATTACATGTCCAACGCGCAAGCGGTGCGGGGAAAACGTCGCATTCCCATGGGAGTGCGCTGAGGCCCGAAGACAGGAAAATCAATAGGAAAAAGAAGACGTGTAGACGAACGACATCCCCAGAAGACATGTCGATGCAGGCATGCGCTAGCTGCAGCGCCTTATGTAGATCAATCCAAGCGAGAGGTTGGGTCCGGTACATCCGCCCTGCCACGGCTACTGGATATATACAGAATGCGCGTTTGTTACCCGTCGAATAGGGCAGAGGGTGTCGCGGAAAGGGCTGCACTGTTTGCGGCTGCTGCGATGATCGAGAAGTGGTCAAGGGCTTACCGGTAGGCAGCCTTGTAAGCCACCAGGGCACCGGAGCGCTTTGGCTGGCTGTCAGAAATGAAGATGGTAGCCTAGCCTAGTGACAACGACGCGTTGATAACGATGAGGCTGGGGGTTGTGCGACTGTAGTGAGTGGGTGAGTAGTAAGTGCAAGTGCTGTCGCGAGAATGTCGCGACACCAAATGCGATCATCGTATGTGATTACGAGTAGGTGGGGTGGAGATGTTGGAAGTTGGTCTTTGAGCAGGCGCGTTGATGAGCGGTGATGGATCCGGCTAGCGTGCAGAGGCCACATCTCTGTCAAAGGAAGTCGCGACCGGTTCATCGCACCGCGCACGACCAGCATCAAAAATACATCGGACACGGTGAATCGCCTTCGCAGTAAGAGAAGGCAGTCTGTTTGCACCTGCGTTACTCTGGCCGGCGCCGTTGATGTTGCAAAAATTTCCCTCTGCTCCCTGAAACGGGACGCACGGGCCAGGCCACTAGCCCGTTCCTGGTGGTGATCCAGCCTACTTAATGACCTGTTCATTCTCTTAGATAGGCCCGCAGCCCACCTTCTCCGACGCGCTCCCGGCACCGCATCGAGTTACCACCCCATCACGTGACTCCCTTCCACAACTCTGACTACACAGCCCAAACACTTCTGTGCCGTGCCCAGTGCTTCCATGGCTACGCCTGCGGGCGCCTAGTAATTTCTAATTCTCCTGGTCGCGCTCCACCTGCGAGCCCGACTGTCAAAAGTGCAGCGCGAAGATGAGGTTTGTCGCATATCGCATCGATGCATGCATGACGCGCTAACGCTTTGGTAGTGCCACCAGATTGGATCGTCTCGTAACGTGAGTATACCCGGCGCATGTCCTGCATGTCTTTCACTGCTTGATCAAACTACGTTGCCATCTTCTGCGACAAGTTAATCACGCTTGAACAGCCTTGCTTCTTTTGTCTCTGTTGACTCTCGCTAACCCCCGCCAAGGCTCCTCGAGACTGGCAGCACAGCATTAATCCGAAATACAGCAGCCGACCAGCTAGCCGACGTCCAAAAACAACATCCCGATGAGCTTTTCAATCTTCTTACCCGAGTCATACCCTATTTGCGATCAAAAAGCTGGGAAACTAGAGTTGCCGCTGCCAAGGCGATAGGTGGCATCGCTGCCAATGCCGACAAGTTCGACCCCAACGCCGATGACCAGGATGAGTCCGTCAAGCCGGAAGCCCAACCAGATTCCAATGGCGATGTCAAATCGGAAGACAGCAATGGCGCACTCGTCAAGAAAGAAGAGAACGGCGATAGCACACTACCACCGCTCGCCGATGGACTCGATCTTGCTATACTGGACCTGCCTTCTATCCTCAAATTCGGCAAGGTCCTAGCCTCTCTCGGCACTAAGGAGCATGACTACAAACTGGCAGCCATGGACCCCGCTGAACGACTGGAGTACCAAAAGAGCACCCTACTCAAGCGACTTGGCTTTGAAGGCGCATGGGTTGAGGACCTTACACCACCCCAGGAGATGATGCCACAAACTCCCGCTCCAAAGACTCCCGGCATGCACCGTATCGACACCAACGTCTCGCGGTCAGAGAGCATGCACCATGGTAGTTCACCTACTGCAGGCACACCTGATGGCAAAGGACTCAGCAAACGTCAGCAGAATGCCTTGAGGCGCAAGAACAAGAGACAGGCCGCTGGAGGTGCTAGCAAAGTCCAAGTTGTCGACTTCAATTCAACTGCAAGGAAAGACTCACAAGCTGACCTCATCGAGACCCCCGTTCGCCCACATCCTAATGCCCTAAAGTTCGAGAAGTCGGAGAACGGAGACGAGGACGAACCCATGAACGACTACTTCTCACTCGACCGCAACGGCGGAGACGACGATGCGAAGTTTGTGAAGGAGTTCAAGGGCGCGCCTGTAGCGGAGA